GCCGCGGCGGCCGCCTTGCAGTGCCATCAGCCTTGTTGCCTTACTCGCTACATATAGTAGGGTGGGTAAGTAAAAACAGACTACTGTTGACGCCTCCCTTTTTCCCCTTTCATATACTTCCTCCCCCGCCACCCACCCCATTAATAACTCTCTCCTTGTAGGCTTAGCACTTAGGACTGATGACTCTGTTCGTCTTGCATCGGTTTTGTGTGCAGCATCTGCCCGTCACATGGCACCGACACCCTAAGGTATCTCCAAGTAAAACTTCAAGCCCCAAAACCCAATCTATCTGGACACCTTCAACGCCCGCACTCTGAGGCAAGCAGGACAATAAGCTGCTCTTGCTCTCACATTGGACTCGCTTGGCATTGATGTGCGCTGTGTCTCAGAAACAAGAATCCAAGATGCAGGCACAGTGATTGAGCTGACCCCATCAGTCCCCACTCTCTTCCGACTGAGCACCTCTGGTAGTCCATAGGCTGCTGCAGCGGGATGTGCAAGAGTTGGTATCGTCCTGAGTCGCCGGACGAAAGTACCCTTGGTTGACTGGATATCCGTTGATAGTCGCATCTGTGTGGTTCGTCTGGAAATGTCTGGGGAGCCTCACAAGCGGCAAGTTGATAGATGTGTGTTTATCGCGTCTGCCTACGCCTCAACTGACTGTAGCTCCGACGCCGTCAAAGTCAGGTTTTATGACGCCCAAATGCCCTGCTGCGGCGACCTAATGCGCAGATATCTTGGTGGTTGCCGGCGAATGCACAAGTGGGAAGGCTTAAAGTATTCAGGACATAACTCGACGAATTACCAGACAAGTGAAAGTGAGCACGTGTACCGACCGTGAAGTCTGTTGCACACAGAAATCCAAGGAAATAGAAGAGTCCCAGAAAGCCAGTAGTACCCGAAGATTATTTCATTTGATCCGCTCGACTGACCCCCGGAAACCTCCTGTGAGTGAAACTATCAGGGATCTCAGAGGTTTATGACTGCCGAGTTTCCGGTCCGGATGACCCCCCGCCCGCATTCTGACAGGGGACGTGATGAATCCTCGGATTTCTAAGGTGTCCACAACTATAGATAAAGTCTGTTGGAAGAAGCAGATATTAACACACTCAAAGGATGCATTCAGCAGTACAAGCTAAGGTGGCAGAGTCATTGGTTACGCATGTCGGGGACAGCACTGTATACGGCGCCTAATTCGGAGTGGCGGAAACCTAGAGGTGAACAGAATTTGACGTGGCAGAATTAGCTGTACGTTGCTTTCGAAAGCTTTCGCGCTGTTCGCTTCCCAGGATGGGGTCTACTAGATCCTGTCTGTGTTTGACTGGAGACTGAACAATATGGTTGCCGACCGATGTCAGTGATGTTCATTCTGCCGGCTTCTACCCAGGTTGTCCGGCTGTGTTGGAGGTGTAGGCGTCTCCTCTACTTCTTGTAGGTTAACCCTAGATACACTCTGGCCTGATCCAGCAAGTGAAATCACTCGCAAATCGAGTCCCACTACGTAGTGGTACCTTGTTCGTTTCTATGGTAGGTATTCCTCTTGGTTTTTCGGCAGTCCGGGCAACAAGTAAAGATCACTCGAACGCCAACCTTCCACACAGTACTTAAACATCAAGCTCGAGCACAAGAATTCGGGTAATATTCGGACTGGCTAACAGTGAACTAAAACTTACCTGATTTATAACTCATAAAGGTTGGAAGACCGGCGTTAATTGCTACAGATATAGGACCATGATGTCCGACGGCACTTTTTAGCTCGGACTCTTGGCCCCCCGGTAAATCGATGTATCCGGTGACCCTGACAACGGCTTCCTTCAAGTTGAAACGGCAAGTGGGATTGGCGGCACCAGTTTCGCCAGAAATGTAGGGATAACTAGCTTCCGTGTCTATCCCATTTGAATCCCTCACATATTTAAACGCATTGTCCATCAGTCCGCCATTGCATGCGTTGTTGCCGTACTCGGAACTACAGTCAACAAGTTGTTGCTCTGAAAGACTGACAAGGTTGCCGGTTGCCAAAAAATTTTGACCCTCTATCGCACCAGTAGCTGAAAACGCCCAACAAGAACCGCAATTGCCTTGGTTCTTTACTGGAGTAACCGCGCCTTTGATGCGCCAGTCGATTTCCGATGGTGGTGGTGCAGCAACTGCAATGTACTTTGAACCGTCTCTTGAAGTGTTGAGACCACCACTGAAACACCGCAGCTTCCTCAACTCTTCATCAGTCTGAAAACGAATCGTGTGCATAACAAGGCCACTTACCTTATCACTGAATTCATTTATACCCATTGTGTAAGAAACTTGACCCTGGATGAACCGCACGTTATGCTTGCTGATTCTGGCGAAGTTGTTAGCGAAGATCCTGAATCTTCGCTCGTGCTCGGATGCATCAATATAATTTCGGTTGTAAGTTACCATAAAATGCTTCCATATACTGCTTAGGGTAAAATTCCAATCGACTCCGATGAGGTCCTGCATGTGTATTGAGTCTAATGGGGTTAATGGGCTGGCCCCGTTCCAGATACTCATTTTTTGAGCTGGTGTTAATTTCCTCCATTGGACTGTAAGTGAGTCACACGAGATTAGATAAGTACTCCAAAAAGTTGCCAAGATCACCAGAGCGAACATCATGAGAGGAAATCAAACCCGTAACAGCTGGAGGTCGGCTTCCAACCTTTGTGCTTCAGTTCACCACAAACCGTTCACTTCAGTACAGTTTTGTTTGCTGGTCGTAGGATTGTGCTGGTGCTCACACCTGGGAGGTCATTCAATCCGGGCCAGTAAACCAAAATCGTATCAGATGTTGGATGGCATGTCGATGGCGAAGGTGTCAGTAGTGTTAAAATGTTATGAATCAATCGGAGGAATGGTTGGATAGCAAGAACTGAAGCGAGGGTGTTATTACAAACAACAAACTCTTGATACTGGATGCTCGCAGGAGATGTTTGCATAGATACCCCTTGACCAGTGTATCCAACAAGTCCCCCATTATTGTGGCAGCGTAAGGAAGGGAAATCTGACAAACGACAGAGAGAAATGTTGTTTATGTAGATCAGTATACAGAATGGAACTCTTCTGAGGGCTACTCGAAGAGGAATATGGTTAGCGTATCATCAGTAATGTGAACAGCCACAAAGCCTTCATATACTTTCTGGCAATAATCACCATTCACTTCTGGTATCGGAAGGTACAAAGAAAGGAACACACAGATCAACAGCCACCTGATCAATTACCAAACAATACACCCGAGCTACCAATATTCCAACATATTACCGACATCGAGATGGGTTCCCTCATGAAGAATGCCGATATCCGTCCTAACCAAACTGCGAATCAGAACATCGTGCGTGTAATTCCTGGATCAAATTAGGAGATCCGTTCAACCATTCTTGTCTGAGACGAGCATTGGACGCACACACCCACCCATGCTTCGTGCTACAGTTAAATCGTTCCATTCACCAAACTATCGTGGAAGGGGTACTTCACATGCTAATATCTCGA